TAACTCTCCCTGTAAACAGGACTAACAGTCTCGCCTTTTGGTGCCCTACCTTACACTACATCTCCATCTAGTGCCTTTTAAATGTCTGTGGAGAAAACACAAGTCTGTATGGAAACTGCTAAGTAGGTAATTTTTTTTTTTTTTTTAATTGAGTACGTATGGCCAGGGGAGTGTGCTTAATATATGGAAGGCAAAAATCTAACAGCAAGGCCAGAGAACTAAGGAAGAGAGAAGCATTCTACCAGAGCTTGCACCCTCGAAGGATCATGGCAATAAAAAGCTTCAGTCAAAGTAGAGCTTGTGTAGTGGAATAAGCATTGGCATGTGCTAGGATTCCAGGCTACCAGGTGTTGTGCAAACAACAATTTTACAAAACTGTGGAAAAAGAATCTTCAGTGGTCCTGTTCTTATTTATAATCTAGTAATTATTTGTGTAAAAGGATGATGTTAATTCCTTTTTTCTTTTCCTAAATAACTAGAATATAGAGTAGAAAGCTAGGAATCCTGCTACAGAAGTAGCTGTATATACAGCTGTATATACAGCTGTATATACAGCTGTACACCCATAGAAGACCTCTGGACTTCTAATCAGAGTTGCTGAGTGTTTTTAAGCCTCCTTCTTTTTTTTCTTGCTGCTTCCTGTTATCTCCAGGTTGACCTGGAATATTTGTTGCAAGTAGGTGACAAACATCAGAATTTTAAAGCAAAGCTGAATATGAAACAATGCATGAAATGAGTGTCTGCTTTAGTTGGGAAGATGCTCTAAGCCAGCTGCTGATCTTTTTGTCACTCAGTCTCGAACTCGGAATATCAAACTGGAATTAACTCTTGTTTTCACTAATGATTCAGCAACTAAATACTTAGTAGTTATAATAAGATTTATAATGAAATTACCATGGTCAGTATATCATTTGAAGCTCAATTACAGAAATTTACACATGAGTGAGAGCAAGTGCAATAGCTACTTATATCTGCTATCTTTTTATGCAGGGAGATCAAGAGGGTTTGTGGTGTTAATTATTTAATCCTCTTGATTGCCTCCTCTAGATGGGGGGTCAGTAAATAGCCCAGTAGGAGAGCTTGGAATCAGAGGGGTTTAACGGCTGGAATCAGTGGCACAACTGAAATAAAAAGCTTAGGTAGGTAGTAGTCCAGGATGGGGTGAGGGATTGTAGCCCATCAGACATGCTGAAGCCCTCTGAGGAGGGTTGCTCCTCTTACTTGTCCTGCCTGGATGCATCCTGGGTAGCTTAACAACTTCAAAGTTGTCCATAATACGTATGGTGTAACAGCTGATTTAGAATTTGTCCTTTTGTATAATGATATTGTTCAGATTGTTTAATGAGTAATAGCTTCTAAAATACTACTTTAGTGAGAATTGGCTTTACTGAATGCCTGAAAAACAAGCTTTTTGTCTGTGCTCTGTTCTGACATGTCATCTGCTTTGTGATGATTTTGAAGGACTGAAATATTGACTTCTAGACCATGAAGATTACTTTAAGGCGTTACTGTCTGGCAAGAAATAAAGGCCACTGACCCATAGTAGTCCAGCTCTGAAGTGCTTTCTCTTTTTTTCCCCTCTTTAAAGGAAGCAGTTTCCACTTCATGGCAGCGGACTCCATCAGCTTCTTTAGCGTTGTCTGTTCTCTGTTGCTGTAAACTGTAGTGTAGATCTGCCCACACAACTGGGCGATAGTTTACGGTGCTGGAGGTGACCTCTGATGTTTCCTGTGGGGTAATTTCACTCCTTAAAATAAAAATTACTGCCTTTAAAATAAAGTACTACTTAGGCTCACTTTCTCTGAGTTTATGTTAGCGGTTTATGACTAGCAACTCTTTCACCTGAGCGGTGGTTAAACAGAGGGAGCAAAGGTAAGAGTGACCCAATGGCTTTTTGTAGGTGCACTGCAAGCTTTGCAGTTGGCTGTGGTTTGGGTCAAAACTTATGAAATAGTTGTTTTGTCCTGGAGACCCTCTGGCATAGTTGACTGTTGGGTGCTAGCTTTTTTCTAGATGCGGAAGAAGCAAGCTGAGAAAGTGAAACTTCTCTGCGTCATTCTGCAAGACAGCCCGGCTGAAGGGCTCTGTGAGCCAACAAATGATGCGTTTGCCTTCTGTGGTGAGGCAGCTGATGACTGCAGGCGACAGTGGCTTTCCCACGAGGAACTGAAAATACTGTAGGATCCAAACAGCAATTAACTAACCCAAAATAACTGTTAGTATGAACTGGTTTAGAGTTTGAGTCCTTGGAGTCAAAGGGATCGTATCCTGGTGCTGTCCTGCTTGTGTTACATAGTGTTGTAAAACTGATCCTTCTCTTCTTCATAAATTGAAGTTAAAACCTATTTTTCAAAGAGTATGGAGAAGTTGGAAAGATGGCTGCCTTCAGCTCCTGTATGTAGAGGCTTTACTGGAGTGCACCTCACCACGCACACATCAAGAGAGCCTGGTTTCACAGTGCTGTCTGCTGTGCGGTGGCATGTCAGCATAAATTGACCACAGCAGAGAAGATTAAGGTGGTTCATTACCAAAGTTGGGAAAATACCTGTGGTTCTTCAATAACGCCGCATCTGTACGCAACAGTTTATCTGGAGAGTCGCTCTTGTTGCATGCAAGTAATCAAGATTTGATTAGCTGAATATAACAACATCTGTTGTTCGATTGAGATGTGTAGGTGTGAAGCAGGATAAAGTTATCTTGCCTGATTGCTATCTGGAGGGGTTTTGAGGCAACAATTTGAGTACAAAAGATGCTGATGCTGAAATATCATGCAGTTTACTTCTAACTGCAGGTCATCACAAAACGTCTGCTGTTGGATCTGCTACATCTTGTTTCCCCTCATTCCAGATTGCTAAATAACTGAGAAATATTCCAAATAGTAAGTGTTCGTAGAGTTAAAAGAAGGAAATGTGCTTGTCCTAGTGGCCACGTTGTGTGGGGTGCTGGTTGTGTACTGTCTTTGCATCTGTTGCATGCAGTAAGCAATGTCTGGTTCATTGTAACTGGGTGTGAAATGCTGGAGGTGGGGGCTGTCTGGCACAACAGTAATGATTCGAGCAAAGTTTCTTTCCTAAAGTTTCATTAGCAAGACAGTGTACTGGCTTCTGTACAAGAAGCTCAACCTGTTTAAGTGTATAATGTCTTCTTTTTAAGTATTGTGTCATTACAGTGGGATACGGGTTTAAAATTTTACTGTGATACCTTAAAAGTTGGTTAGTATCTACTTAGTTACACGTGATGATTTTCCTTCAAAAAAGTCAGGCCATGCCATCTTGTCCTGACTATAGTCCTCAAATCTGTAGTCAACAACTACACTTCAGTTGCTGATAATTGTAGAAGATGTTTTGTGTCTTTGCTACTCTGTCTATGGAAAGAAAAATCACCTGCCCGTTACAGAAGATATGTTGTAACCTTCTAGTCATGTTTTAGGTCCTTACCGAGTCAAGAGTCTGCCCAGTTAGCACTGCTTTTATATAAGGGGGTATCTGTGTACAGTGTAAGGTTTTACACAGTATATGCCAAATCTGATTCCCCCTTGCTGAGAAATAATGAAATGGATCGCCCTTTCTGAAAAATAGTGCTGTTTCATGTTTTGTACCCTAAAGATAGCAAATGTTTTTTCTGTTAGTTTTGTAGAGCTGTGCCTGCAAACTGTCACATCTTCAGTGGAATGTACAACCAGTCGTGATGGGAAATTACTGGGTTTTTAGAGCCTGAAAAGAAGGGCAAGATTGGCTTCTGCGCAGCATAAGGAGCAACTTCACAGATTCACACATAAAACTGCCAAAATAATTTTCTTGAACTTAGGCAAACCAACCTGGGGGGAGTGTTTGGCAAGCTTATACTGCAGCCAGCAGTTCTCTGCCACTATCTTCGCCGCTTGCTTCACAACCAAGTTTTAAGTGGTGCGAAGAATATTTTACTGAAGAGTGATTTTTTCCCTTCCCCTCCCCCCCACCTCTTTCTAAATACCATGACAATTCCCTTTTGTGTAAGGTAAATAAAGATTCAGGTAGATGAATTCTATGATTCTAGGTAGATGTTTCCTGCCATGACTAGGTAACAGATGAAGAGTAGATCTGGAGTGAATCAATTCTCTTCTGCCATCAGTTCACAGATGGGTTGAATGTCAGATTATTCAGGGTGGGTTTTGTACTTGCTGTATTTCTGCAATTGGATCCAGACTGGATGTGTTATTTGAGTAGCCTTTCTTTAGACATGCTTTTGCAAGTTGCTGATTATTTTGTTTGTTTGGGGTTTGTTGTTGTGTTTAAAGTGTGTCTGTCAGTCCTGACCCCTTCCCCTCTGATGTGAGGTCTGTGTTTCTTAGGTTCTGGAGATCTGGGCTCAGGAGGACTTGCCAGTTCCTTTAGACAAAACCAGCTTCTTCCCTTTACTCAGCTGGTTGTAACACTCTGGCTAAATAAGGCCAGATGATCCCCATGTGCCTGTGTCCTTTTTCACTTCTCTTGTCATTTCCTGATATCCCGGTAACTTTTGTTTACCCTGAGCCCATTTCAGCCAAGTGTAACAGAAGGATATAGATTGCAAAGGTAATGCTGTCCCTGAAAGCTTTTCAAGGCTAAAGTCACTGAAGGAGCCAACTGCGTAGCTCCTGTTAAATAAACATAAAGCTTGTCACATACAGATCTGCCTGAAAACTTGAAACCTGTGCAGTAGAAGACACGATGATGAGCAAAGGAGAAGAAACCTTTTTCATAGCAATCATATAATGGGAGCAGGAATTGCAGAGGAGTACTGGGACTAGTGCAGCACACTCAACCTGACCATGAGGAAACACTTCTTCCCTGTGAGGGTGACAGAGCACTGGAACAGGCTGCCCAGGGAGGTGGTGGAGTCTCCTCTGGAGACTTTCAAAAGGTGCCTGGACTTGTTCCTTTGTGATCTACTCCAGGTGATCCTGCTCTGGCAGGGGCGGTTGGACTAGACAATCTCTAGAGGTCCCTTCCACTCTGTGAATCTTTGACTTGAATCTACAGGTAGTCATGATCCTGGTGTACATGTCTGTGACTTGTGAGGGTGCTGAAGACCTGAAGAAAATGGATAGCCCTTTCCTGGTAAGGGTGTCTCCAGGGATCATTGTAGACTAGGAAGGTGTATTTCTGCTCAGGAAGAAATTACTGTGCTTTCCATAGAAACTTTGAGCAATACCCAAACAACGCTTGCCAGAAAACCTTGGGAAAACTGTGTCAGAGGACAAGAAGGATGTTGAATTGAAAATAAAACAGAAATACCCATTAGCTCCCTGGAGTCAGGGGATGTGGCTTGGACTAAGCTGTTACTGGTTTCTTATTTTTTCTGCATTTATGCACGGCATATGGGAAATGTATGTTGTGTCTGGAATTGCAGCTTGGAGAACTGAGTTCTGTTTGGGAGTGAGACTTGTGTCTAGTAAATGCTAGCTGCGTGACTAGTGAATCACTATGATATTTGAATGCTCTTATCTTTTGTGGTGCCTAATGTAAATGAAAGTTTGAATTGGGAATGGTTTGTGTATGTATCATCTCTGTTGTAAATACAGAGAATTACATTTGGGTTTTCTTTGGGGTTTTTTTCCTCCCATTGAGTTTAAAAAAAATCATTGGACTGTGTAAAGGGGAAACAGATAATTTGAAGGTGTTCAGTTTCTTGTTTGGTTTTGGTCTGTGGTTACTGGGATGTGCTTTTTTGATAAGCAGTTATTCTAAAACTGAATTGTCTTGTTCTCTGGCAGCTGTTTCAAGAGTAGGAGATAGGAAAAGGCCTGGGAGAAAATGTTAAACTAAATGTTATTTATCCATCTAAGTAATACTTCCATTAAATCATTGTCCTGAATGGTTTCCCCTCACTCTTTGATGGGGCTATCAGGATGCTTTGCGCAGAAGAAAACTTTGTACATTTTAATGCCCGAAATGCTTTGGGTGTTTTCCAGAAACTCTACTTTGTTCCTGGTCATTGCAGCACCTTTTTTCTCCAGATGTGATCAAACATTAGATATTACTTATGGCTTTAGTGCGGTAGCTGAAGGCAACACACCAGATGTGCTTTGGGCCTTCTTGCCTTAGGGGCCAGGACAGCTGAGATGGCTGTGATGTGCCTGTCATACCTTCATTATTCATCACCACATGCAGCTCTGGCCTGCGCTTTCCCGACACATGACTTCTGCTCTTCAGGGGGCCAGAGGCTCTGGTTTTAACAGTTCTCAGCCTGAAGTCTGTCTGGAAGAGCAAGCCTCTAAGAGTAAGAGGTGGTCCCGGTTAGAAATTTTAGAGGTAAACTATTTTGAAGCCTTAATTTGGCAGGATTTTCAGAGGTGGTAAAGGGCATCTCTGAGTAAGACTGGCCAGAAAGTTGGTAGCCTCTGAACTCTGATCCCAAATGACTGAAGTAAATGTACTTGAATGGAATACAGTTAACGGGCAAAATCAGAATCGCTTCCCTCTTTTTTTTTTTTTTTTTCTTATTTCTTCTCCCCCTCCTGGAACTGTTCTGGCTCAAAATACATCTCTAAGAAAGGGAGCTGTGCAGAGGCAGTCATTTGGTTTGGGGAATGTAAATGCACTGCATGGTTTTGGAAAGATGTTAGCTTTCAGAAAAAGAACAGCAACAAAAACATAGCATGTGAAACATTGGGCACATCTTCACATCTACGTGTGTTATTCCCACACGCTCCCAGCAGCAGCTCGGCTGACTGGTTGGTGTGCTGAATATTGGTCAAATGCTAACATAGACCGCTTGCTGTGGTGACAGCCTGGGAATCTGTTGCCGAGATGTGTGTTCTGCTGTTTTTGTTTAACGACTGGAGTATGGTACTGCCTCAAACCCTGTGGTTACCGAGTTACTCAGCTGAGATTAGTCTGCCTCAAAACTCTTAAGTTGTGCAAAGAATTGCAGCGGCTTGAATGTCTCGGCTGAGGGTTTTCCATTGCGGGTGATGTTAAGCACAGCAGCTACTTAAGGGTAATTTATCATCTGGTTTTCTATCAAGTAATGGTTCACCTTTTTTCCCCAAGTGGACCTTGGATGTTCTTCAGAAAAAGTGGTAGTTGAATATGTGAAATTCAGTGATACATCCTACTTTACACTTCATAATTCTAACAGAAAATTACTTGTATAATATAGAAAAACACATAAGAGAGGGACTGCAGGAACTTGCTGTTGGAGGACACTAAATCAAGTGAGAGTTAGTGTAGCTGTATTTTAAAACGGTTTCTATGCACTCTGAGTGATGGAAGAAGGCTTTGTTACAGCTACACTTAGTTTTTAACCCTGGAAGGGAGGATTCCTTCTAAATTAATGAAGCAGCTGTTTGTCCCTATTGGATTTACTTCTTTTTGTCTGTACTCTGGTTGTCTCTGACCTTGTCCTGGCCTGTGCAGGCTGACGTATCGATGTGCCATATGGCTGCATAAAAAGACTGCCTGTCACTGTGATCTCCAGATCTGTCACATCTTAAAACCTGCGAGTTGGAAACGCATCCTGTAGGTTTGGTGTAGGAGTAGGACACATTTACTTAAAGGGCCCGCAAGTTATGGATATGGCTCTTTTCCAGTGTTCTCCCATCAATGGTCTGTGCATAGTATTACCGTGTGTTCTCACTGCTCTGCACACATCTTCCTGCAGTCACCAGCATGCTTTTCCCATGGTGACTGGTGTTGCTTTAGTGTGGACTTTCTGAAGAGTTTAGAGTCCACTGATGTAGTCCATCGTGTCATGTGCTAATTTGAAAAAGCAAAAGGGAGGGAAAAAATTTAACTATGTGTCTCATTAAATTGTTTTTTACTTTTGGAGATGCTTTGTTCTAGGCTGGTAATACCACAAGACTTAACTGGTGCTTGCCTTGAGCATCATGGTGGAAGCATCTGCATCACTCAGCGCAGTGTTCTCGCTGCTGTGAAAAGTTGCTGTGCAGTGAAGTACTTGAGATCATAATGAGATTCTGTAATCATTTGTTAAACACGTTTTGATGGTACTGTTAGTATTTAGTGTTTTATGAAAAGCTCTGCTGGTGCTATGAAATAGATGTAGTTTCTGTCCTGAAGAACTGTATAATGAATGATGGAGAGAAGTACAGCAAGAGATGCAATTCATGTAACTCATGCTCCTTTTACATCCAATTTTATATAAACTGTGCTGAATAAAGGCAGTGTTAACTATAGCAATTTCTTTTTTGAGTTTGATTTTTGCAGCCTGAAAGTCTTTAATGACGGTCTTGTGTTTCTTATTCTCACAAAGACACTAACTTGCTTGATATCGGTATTGCTTTTCGTCTCCAGATGTTTCCTTACTCTTTATACGCTTGTCTTTGTCGACATTTGCCTCCAGATCCCATATTCTCTGAACTTGCTGCCGTGTTCGTTTTCTCTGTCTACCTGGGGCTCTTCACTTGACTTCTCTGAGCAAGCAAGAGAAGCTTGGTGGTGTACAGAATCTAGATTCTGCTGCTGTTTAGTGTTTGTGGACTCGGCATGACATACAGCTGCAGGGCGGGGGGTGGGCTGTAACTAGTTCATCTAGACCTTTGCCTCTGGGGGTGGTTGTCTGCTGCCTGAGAACCTGCTTAGATGTTTGTATCCTGGGCTTATGCCTGGTGCAGTGACGCAACAGACCTCCACAGAGGGGAGGGGGGATAGTTGCTCTTGTTTTCTGCGAAGTGTGACCCTCTATTTTAATATTTTTCCCCCCAATGCTTCTAAGTCGGTCTAATTCACATGGATCTTTAAGTGATGGTTAGGAGTCCCTGCTTGTCAAGTTTCCAAACTTGTACTCCAAATTTTGCACAGTTTCAGTTTGTTTTGACAGGTCATTTGACTTGTTTTAAGTTTAAATTGAAGCAGTTGAAAGCCAGCCGTAGGGAGCTTGGAAGGCACCCAGCTAACATCGGTGCCACCAGCACTGCCTCGAGTGCCCTAACCTGTACTGCTACAAAACCTCTGTATATTGTTTCCCTCATCTTTGTCCTGTTCTGTCTGTGTCTTCTTCCCAGCAAAAGCCAAATCCAAATGCGGTGCCACGTTCTTCCCCTGCGCTAGCGGGATCCACTGTATCATTGGCCGCTTCCGGTGCAACGGCTTCGAGGACTGTCCCGATGGCAGCGATGAGGAGAACTGCAGTAAGTGTCAGCCTGCTTGCGAGTGAGGGTGCTGCTTTTTCTTTCCACTAATTAATGCTATTTGTAAAGGAAGCATTTGTTAACCTTTAGTGTGGGTGAAGTATTCTCTGTCATTTACCACCCAGATGATCCTTGACCTTTTCACTTTGTGATACTCTTTTTTTCTAAGGTCCAGCTCTGCCTTTGTACACGAACTGTTTTGTACACAATGCCTGTATGATGCTTCAAGCCCCTTTGTAACTTTGAAAGGAGATGTAAGCTGTGTGTTTGCTTTGAACAGGTTCTCTCTACTCAAATGTAACTCAGATGGGGTAGATCTTGAATGTGACTTAATATGGTTTAATTTTTATTTGCCAGTTTCTTGTCACTGGAGAATATGACTTATTTGTTCATCAGCACATTTGAGTTTCTCTGTTTATGCATGTTCTCAAACAACAAAAAAGCAAATAAAGGGTTAGTTAGTGAAACAGGTTCTTGGAAGGAGGTGGAGGTTCTTGAAGTCAGACATATCTACCAACACACTAGCTTGAGCTGCTGTTCAGCATCTTGCAGGAAAGTCGCAGCAGAGATCATCTGAAGTACTGCTTGACGTGGGTTAAACCCCCTGCGTGTGGCTGCATTGATCCATTTGTATCTGTAAGTCTAGCAGGGATGTACCATAGCAGTAAGGGAAGGTTATGTTTGATACAGCAGCTCTATAGCTATTATCAGGAGCCGGTAAAAGCATGGTTCTGTAGGCAGATGATTGCAGCACATACTTGCTCATTCGCTTGATAGAGCATGCTGAGTTTTTCTTTTTAACGACAGTTAAAGGTCAGGAGGATGACAACAGATGCCAACTTTCAAAGATAACAAAAGGCATGATCTTTACAGTGATCTGTCTGTTTCTTGGAGAACTTCCCTTTTTGGTTTGTTTGCTTTCCCCCACAGCATGAACATCTCTTTAGGCCAACAACAGATGACACCTTGAGGGCCTGGTTGGGGCCCTCAGAGGAATGTGGCAGGGAGATAGCACCTCTGCAGAGCAAGTGAAGCTAGGGAAAGGTGGCTGTAAGCTAAGGAAATTACTTTAGGTCATGCTTGAGCAAGTGGACTAGAAAGAAATTTAGACAAAAGTGCTTTTGAGTATCCTTGAGGTAGTGGACTGACAAGTAGCATGTCTCAACTGAAAATGCACCAATTCATGGAGTTGGTTGTGACTGTCATAATTTCCAATGAGCTTGTCATTTGTAGCTCCAATATGGCTTTACAGCTGCTGCTAACATGCTGCTCATCGCCCCGTTTCTATGTGCCATTTAATCATACACTTGGTATCTTCTAGCCTATCCAAGTTGTCTAGTTACTCGTTTGTTTGTGTAGGGGAGCAGCACTGTAGGCCTTAAAGTGACGTGGAAAAGCAATATGATATGCAAGTGTGCAGCAGTTTCAGACCAAAGGCGACTTATCATGTGTTCATGATAAATGTGCTTTTGGGGAGCTGGAGGAATTAGGAACTGTTATATATACTGCAGGTTATAGGCATGGAAGACTTTCAAGTTTTATGGGGTTTTTTTTTAAAGACTCATTAAAGGCAGGTCTTTAAAGAATAAAAAAGTAGGAAGCTAGTTAGTATTTGGGAACTGTAATCCCCTTTGTTATTGTGGCAGAGAAGCACTTTGAAGCAGACAAGGCATCTAAACAGCTTTTTTTAAGGTTTTCAATTGGAAAGTTGCATTCCATTTCAGTCACATCATTACTAAAATCTGGCAGGAGTTCAGAGAAGAGGGACAAAAATGATTAAGGGACAGAGGTTGATTTATGAGGAGATATTAAAACTGCTAAATTATGCATATCTTAGCTAAGCAATGACGATGCTGGAAGATAGGGATGTATGTGCTATATATGTAGGGTGCAAACACTGTTCAGGAGGGGGATTATGTAGTTATGTATGCTGGGCTGTAGCTAAGAGTAGAGGGATGAAATTAGAAAAGAGAAGACTAAGATGAATATCAAGGAAACTTCCTTGACAGTGAGATACATTGAAGCTGTGGTGAAAGCTGCACTGCTTGAAGCTTTAAATGAAGTTAGACATAGCATCTTACAGTATATTTACTGCAGTGTGAAGGCTGCTCTACCTAAATGAGTCTGCTTAAATACTATTATGGTTTTGATCTGTGTACAACACTGGGCCTTACGTGTAAGGATTTTCTGGGTACTACTGTAATGTGCTTATTACCTTAAGGAGTTGAAATTCAAACACTGAGAAGTTGAGAGATGTCAGCATTGCCAGTGTATCAATTCAAAATGCTGAGGAGTATAGGGGAGGTAGAAGAAGACAGAAGCAGAGGTAAATAAACCACTGCCTGGCATTTCTCAGCCAGGGTTGTTGTCTTATAATCTGAAACTTGAGCTAAACTGAGTTTGTTGTAATGGGAACTAACAGGCAGTGTTTATGGTAGGCCGTGCTACCCTCTGTATGTCTTCATTGTGAGAAAAGGCTGAGCACCGGTGTTCGGTGTTCGGGATAGTAGCTCTCATAAAAGTGAACAGAAGGCTTATCACAACTGTGAGTGGACTAAATCTCTGCTAATTGTAATGAATATTACATGAATTAGAAATTTCAGTGCTCTGTACAGAGAGACAAGGTTGGCTTGATTGCCAAGTTACTCCCACATATTCAGCAAATTGACCAACTGTTGAGTTGTGACCTGTTGTTGTTGATTGCTTAATGGCTATTTCACTGCCTGGGTAAGAGAATTTCTAATGAAAGCTCTCACTGTCTCTTTTCACAGCAGCAAATCCCTTGCTTTGCTCTACTGCCCGATTCCACTGTAGAAATGGTCTTTGCATTGATAAAAGCTTTGTGTGCGACAGTCAAAATAACTGTCAAGACAACAGCGATGAAGAAAGCTGTGAAAGCCCTCAAGGTAGGTACAGGGGTTTTATTCTGTTCTGCAATATTCTACCAATTCCAGTTAACAGGGGACAGACTCAGTAGAAAACATGATCATGTTGGCTAGAGCTCTGCTTTCCTAGTTCTGCAGGAGAGTGAAACGCGTAGGGGGGGTTGTGTGTGCGTGTGCATGTATGTCATTCTCGGTGCTCAGAAGGCTGGTATCTTTTTCAGATTATAAAAATGCACTTTTGCAGGAATGGTTTATAATCTGTGATCCAGTGCTCGCTGAAGTTGCTGGGAATCCATGAGTGACTTATATGAGAGGTGGATTTGGACCCAGAGGGATCAATAATTAAACTTCAGTTGGAAGTAGTTCAGCGGTCTGTTTATTTACCAGATGAGTAAATCTGTGTAGGCTTAAAGCTTTAGATCTTCATTGCTCAGTTACTTTCTGAAAGACATGCTTCACTGCAGGACAAGTCTACAGTGAAAGAATTTATTCCTACCCTTCCTTGCTTTTGCATTTAGAGACCAAGATGAGGACAGGAAGAAAATTTTTGTTTGCAAATAGTGTACTAAGTCTTGTGAGAATCTCAAAATGTAATCTGACTTTGTTCTCTTTAACATATCCTATAAGTCTACATCTAGTGCTCAGCTTTGTTTTCTAAGTTCACACTATAATATTTTGCAAAACATGAAGTATATATGAATGTCTTGAGGTTAACAAATGATGTGTATTGGGCACCAGCTGCTAAACGTTTTCATGTCTACTGAGAGATCAGAGTAGACAAAAAATGGGAGATGATGGATATTTGCAGGCGAGATGTGCTGTGCTTGGGCCTATAGAAAGCAGGACACATGAACATAAAGCAGAGTATAAAGGAAAGTAGTAGTTAGGGAAATTGAAGGAGAATTACTTTAATATCTACTGTGCTGATGATTGAGCCCTTTGTGGAAGAGAAAATAATTCTGAGCTTAATATGGTGATAAATATTCTTGGTAGCTCACAGGGGAAGAGGAAAATCATGCAGCATCAGTGCCAGCAAAACAGGCTTTACAGTAATGGTAGGTGACAATCTCCTGCGCCATTCCTCTGCCTAACCTTTGAGCTCCTTCCTTTGGCTCCATATGTAAGGGCTGAAGGGCTCATCCTGGTAACCTGCCTGCTTTGCTGGGCTACATCAAAGCCTGGGAACATAGCTCTGCTCAGATCAAAGCCTCAGATGGGGGGCTCTAGCCTGCCCCCTACTCTCTGAGCAGCGGGAGGGAAGGGCTGGTGAGGGACTGGTGCGTGTGCATTGCTGCAGTGCTGCTGTCCCTGTGCTGAGGGCTCCGTTGTTTTTCACTACAGGCCTAAGACAGCCTAATAAGATTAATGGGGGTGGTAAGGTTTCTTGTTAGGTTTCTTTTCTTTTTTTTTTTGTGGCTTCTGAAGCTTAAAGCAGCAGTGTTTCTTTTCCATGGGTGGGATGACTGCTTCCTCTGCAGATTAATTGGCTGGATTGCCTCCAGGTTGTTTGTTGTCATGACAATCTGCTTTTGGAAGTGACTGTCAGGCTCAGAAGAAAAGAGCTGTGTTTCATGAAGCCATTACTTTTGTCTTTATCTTTGGTCCTTCTGGAAAAGTCAGATTAGTAAGAGGGTTAGGCAAAGTAATTCTGTCTGATTCTATGCGTGAAAGAGCCCCAAACAAGGAAGAAGGAACTCTCTCATTAGGACTAGACCAGTGATGGTTTGTGGGCTTTTATATTTAAAAAAGTCCAAGTACAGGGATGGGAATGAGGAGTTCCTAAAGTGACTGCTGGCTGTGGGGAATGTGTGTGATTGCTTTTGCCCTTTGGCAGCTCAGAGCCTCCCTGAATTGCCATTTTGCCCTCTGTAAGTGGATCATGCTTGAATATCTGTTTTTTCCAAGTGAGGATTAAATAGTATAATGTGCCCAACTTCCTATCTGAATGTAAATGACAATTCCCTCTGGAGTTTGCAGCTATGAGTATGTCTGTATGGCTTCCAAACACACCAACAACTTTGTGTTAATTGAGAATTAGAGGCTACTGTAGACAGTCTTTCATTTCTCACAATTCTTTCTACAGCAGATCTAATTACTGTTATTACAATGGGTTTTGTGTTAATGCAGTACACAAGAATCCTGGTCATTAACTAGAACTCAAGTGCTCTGTGTACTTAGGGACAGAGCAAACAAATCTGTAGGGTATTGTAAAATGAAAATAGAGGGTTTTCTTTCCACTAGCTATGCTATCATGTCAAATGTGGTAGCTTTAGTTCAGTGTACTTGAGTGTGGTCTGACATACAAGATTGCCCTTATGTGCTATTTTTCTATCAAAAAAAATGTGCATTTGTCATAACTGCTATACAATAGTGTCATCATTTCCATTTAACAGATGGGGAGGAGGGGGCATAGATCAGCTAAATTAAATGCTCCCAGAGTGACCTCCAGGCTGGTAGGAGTAGAGCTTCATCCATGCTAGTCTGCTTCGAGGGGATGTTGTGAGACTTAATGTTTGCCCACTGTTTTCAGATAGTACGATAACATGTGGAATGGAAGTGTGAATTATTAATTGGTACTTTGCTGTCATCCTGCTCTTGGGTATACTAACAAGCTTTTTAAATTAACACCTCTTCCTACTTCTCCGTGAACTTCAAAGGCCTCCTTTATCTGCTGTCATTACTGGAAAGCTCCAGTAGCATAGCGGTTTGGTTTGTGTCAGATACTCTTCCATGCATAAAGATCCTCTCAATCAAGAAGGGTAATTCTGTAGGCTGGGAAAACAAGAATGTGAACCCACTACTGAAAAATGTATTGGCTCGGTTTGGACCTGGAACGTTTCAGAATGTGTTGTCCTTGATGAGTTAGAGGCTTGCTAGCATGCTGCAGTTTGAGGGGAGTCTAAAGCCATGGGTTTATAAAGATTAATTTTAGACATAAGTAGGGGTGGATCCATTTGAGGGGAGGAAGACACAGGTCCCAGGATTTAGTGGTGAAAATTGGCGGGGAGGTTGTTTTTGGGAATCTTTCAGAACAGGTTCCCACCCTCCTTTTTCTTCACCATTTGCAACTGAGTGTTGCACATCCTACAAAGGTTTCTGTGTTATGGGGAAAGTGTCAGTTTAAAAATTTAAACTGTGACAATTCAGCAGCAAGTCAAATAATTCTGCTCTAATTCCTGACAGTAATTATTTGAAGCTCTTGCAGCTGCCATGGTAAACCTCAGAGCTGTTCATTTAATCCCACTCCAGCTACACTTTGGTCATCTCTGGCTTCCAGCATTGAAGTAGTACAACCAGACATTTCCCTTACTCTGGAATGTGGTGTATTCATCAAAGTATGTGCCTGAGTTTTGGGATTGGATGGACAATATACTTGCTTGGATTATCCACCCTAGTCGCGTGTACGAGGCCTTCTTTCTAGGGTGTTACTCCAGTTTTAACAACACTTGCAGTGATTGGAAATGTCTGCTGGTGTTGTATACAAATGGATCCTAATCCAGGGAAGTTTTTCCCTCATACTCTTTTTTTTCTCTTATTACTTTGATATTTCTCCCTATGCCTCCAATTAGCTGACAGTGCTAATCACTCACAGCAGCTACTCTGGGTGTACTCCTCAGGCCTGCCTGTTGTCGCTGGGGGGGATTTCCTGCTCTGCAACAGGCATCCGCTCAATTGGAAGGGAATTCCTCCTTCTTAATATTTTTCAACAGTTCAGTTCTAGGATGGTATTTATTCTCCTAATTGCTTTTTATTTAAGTGTGTCTTCACAGTGCTTCTTACTTTAGTTTTTCCTCCATTTTGTACTTTTAGTCTAGAAAGCTTTAACACCAACAAAAGCATACTGGATATTTGAATTAAAATTCCTTTTCCTTTCATGGCTCTTCTTTTTGTTTCCTTCTAATTTTGCTAAATACCTTTATTAGCTTTAACCTCATTGCCTGTGAAAGAAGGTTTTATTGCTGTGAGCATATATCCACTCTGACTGGTGCTGTAGAGAGAGAAGCTCTTGGCTTCAGTAACGTTCCTATGATTCTAGCTCTGCAGTTAAGTCAACAGTACTGTTGTTGTCCCAAATCCAGTTCTTCTTACACACAGAAGCAAGATACTCGCTTTACTGCGTGTCTGTGCCGAGATGCTGATGCACCCCGGAGAAATCGGGATACACAGTTGGACAGTTTCCAGTAGTAGTCAGTAATGCCTACCGTCAGCGCCTACTCTAAAAGCATCAGTTAGGGTTTTTTTCATGCTTTGATTTAAAGGTATAGTACTTAAGATCACCACTTGTACACTAGGTAGGGGTCTTTCCTTGGAGGTGGGTAACAAGTATTGGAGGTGTGTCTTTTATATGATAATGAGCAAAGTTCATCTAAAGGACACATTTTAGGAATTTTGGTGATGTGTCAATACATTTTGACAAACTGTGCTAACTAATTAAGGATATACTGCGTATTTCCTCCACTAGTCAAGGATATACAAGACATACGTTTGTTTTTCAAGCATTTTGACCTCCCACTCCTCTATTCAAGGTTTCCATATAGCTCATTGTCTTAGTACATCCTATCTTAGAATAAACAAGCTTCACAATTGCCTCATCACCATTGTGTTCAAGTTATAAACCAGATGTTTTGCTTGTGTCCTGAAGTTGATTCCTGCCCTGTGTTTCCACAGTACATTTGTTAATGTTCACTGTTGCACATGTAGATACCGCCACCTTTTATTTTTTTTATTGAATTTGCACTAAGATTTTTATATACCCCAATATTCTAAAACACTTAGAAGCATACACAGTTGTCCTTTCTATGTATAGAAATCGTGGCATGTATAAATTACTTACATAAAAATTGACAGCATATTACAAAATGAAAAATCTGACCCTGCGTCAGACAAGTGGAAAACAGTTCAAAAGGTTGACTTAAAAATTAATTTTAACTGATAATCCAAATTCTGTAATGATAACTTCTGTGGAATTAGAAGTGGGATGAAGTTGGAAGGGGGCTGGCCATAATGGTAAACACTGTGGC